TTCTAGGGCTAATATACATGTGTATTTTGATTGTGGTTATTTTAAAACTTTTCAGAAATCAAGCGAAGGAAGTGTAACTTTGGGGAATGGATCAGTCGCTCCAATACTTGGCATTGGAGATATAGATTTGAAGATGACTTCTGGAAAAATCTTAACTTTGAAAGATGTGAGATATATTCATGAAGTTCTAAGAAATCTTATTAGTGGATCGTGTATAGTATAGTTAGGTTACATAGTTGTAATGGAATCAAATAAAATTGTAATAAGTAAAAATGATATTTTTATTGGAAAAAGTTTTTTTGTATGTGATGGTTTATTTAGATTAAATGTATATTTTGAAGTTAATAATATCTTTCATAATATTTTGAATCTTGAAGTTTGTGATTTGTGGTATGGAAGACATGGACATGTGAGTATAAGGAAAATTAGAAAAATACTGGATTTAGAATTAGTACCTAAGTCACCTATTGATGTCAAACACAAATGTGAAATATGTGTGCAAGCAAAACAACCTAAGAAACCTTATAAATCTGTAAAAAGAAATTCACAACTCCTAGACCTTATACATAGTAATGTTTGTGATTCTAATAAACCACCAACTAGAGCAAGAAACAAGTATTTTGTAACCTTTATAGATGATTGTTCTAGGTTTTGTTACTTATATTTAATTAAAACCAAAGATGAAGTGTTTAGTAAATTTAAAATTTATAGAGTTGAGGTAGAAAATCAATTAGAAAGGAAGAATAAGAAACATAGATTTGATAGAGGAGGCGAATATAATGTAGGTATCCTTAGTAATTTTTGTGTTGAACATGGCATTATTTATGAGGTAATCCTACCTTATTCTCCACAATCTAATGGAATAGTTGAAAGAAAAAAACAGAACTCTAATGGATATGATAAATGCAATGCTTATTAGTTTTGGTTACTGCAGAGCTTGTAGGGGGGAAGTGGTACTCACTGCTTTTGTTATACTAAATAGAGTAATTGTAAATTATAATGACAAAACACTTTATGAAATCTGAAAAAAAAGGTACCTAATCTTAAAATTTGAAAGTGTGGGGATATTTAGCAAAGGTAGCAATTCCAAAATCTAAACATAAGAAAATAGGACCTAAAACAATTGATACCATTTTCTTAGGATATGCTCAAAATAGTAGTACTAATAGATTTCTAGAAATAAATTCTTAAATAAGTGAAATTGCTAATAATACAATAATTGAATATTGAGAAACTACATTTTTTGAAGATTTTTTTCCATATAAAACTAGGATCGCAAATCTGGTTGTTGATAGCACTTTTAATACTAGTGCTAGTGTTATTCCTTTGAGAGATGATTATGAACATCTAGACATAGAACCTAGAAGAAGTAAGAGAACTAGAATAGAGAAAACTTTTGAAGATGATTTTTATATATTTTTAGTTGAAGGAGAGCCAAATACTGTTATAGAAGTTATGTCATCCTTAGATGCTCCATTTTGGAAGGAAGCCATTAATATTGAGATTGAATCAATACTTCAAAATAATACTTAGGAGTTGACTAATCTACCTCCTGGGAGTAAAGCTATTGGTTGCAAATGGGTATTTGGAAAAAAAATTAGAACCTGATGGAAGTATAGATAAATATAAGGCAAGATTAGTAGCCAAGGGATTTACACAGAAGAAAATAATAGATTATTTTGATACCTATTCACTTGTTTCTAAGACTACTATCATTATAATTTTAATTGCTCTAGTATCCATTTATCATTTAGAAATTCATCAAATGGACTTTAAAACTTCATTTTTGAACAGAGATTTAGATGAACGCAACCTGAAGCTTTTATGGTTAAAGGACAAGAATATAAAGTTTGCACGTTAGTTAAATCTTTGTATGGACTTAAGCAAGCTCCTAAGGTAATTCTATAATATGGTTTTAAGATTAATGAACATGATTGATGTGTATACTTTAAAGAAGATAATGGAAAATGTATTATTTTGTGTTTATATGTTGAAAATGTGAAATCTTATTTGTCTTCGAAATTTGATATGAAAGATTTAGGAGAAGCTTATATAATTTTGGGTATAAAATTCGAGAAAACAACCAAAGGTATTACATTAAATCAATCTAGAATCCTAGAGAAGATGTCAAAAAAGTTTGATTATTATAATTTCAAACCTGTTTCAACCGCTTATAATCCTAGCATGAATTTAAAGAAAAATAATGGTGCACCTGTATCTCAACTTAGATATTCTCAAATTATTGGATCACTTCTCTATATTGCTAATAAGAGTAGACCTAATATTTCCTATGTTGTTAGGAGATTAAGTAGACACTCACAATCCTAGTAAAGATCATTAGGTTGTTGTGGAAAGAGTTTTTAAATATCTAAGAAGAACTCTAGATTATTCACTTTGCTTTAGTGGTTTTCCTAATGTAGTTGAAGGTTATAGCGATACAAATTGGATAATAGATAACCTAGATGCTAAGTCTGCTACTGCATAATATTTATGTTTGGTGGAACAACAATATCTTGGGGTTCTAAAAAACAAATTGTTATCTCTAGAAGTACAATAGAATCAAAACTTATAGCTTTAGATACTATGTGTACTGATGTTGAGTGGATTAAAAATTACTTTTTCATATTCCACTTGTGAAAAATTCTATTCCTGCCAGTTTCATACATTGTGTGTAACGTCCTGACAAATGAACCTCCCTGTTCCCCTTCTCATCCGGGCATTACCAATACAAGATCGACAACGCAAACTAAACAAAATAGAAATGATATAACATTAATAACATTCCTTCCCATTTGAACTATTTCCAAACTTTACAACATTGTTTTATTACATTTATAATAAAAAATAAAATAGTTCAACAAGTAAGGAATGATTTAACAACAATTTTGTCTTTGTTAAATCAAATATCTGACTACACAGTCACCCAAAAACTGTCTCTGGCACACATAGAATATGATTCAACACAAGCTTTCACATCCCCAAAAGTTTTCTTTAACTCAAAAATGTTCATTTAAGAAGCAGTTCATCTTCATTTCCTAAAATTTGGTTAGTTTAGGGTGAGCGAAAGCTCAGGAGGTAATGCACTTAACAGGTTATAACATTAATTGAAAAACCCATGATCATGCAATGCAACATTTGATAATTTTTATTATGTATATGTATGAATGCCCTTATGAATGAGTATGCCCCATGTAGGTTAAGAAAACATTTCCTGAATTTAGACCGGGCGATAAATATACTATGACCTTCCAAGTAAGAGTCGAAATTCAAAAAACATAGATAGATGTAGGTTTTGTATACTTAAAATAGTCCCACATTTGCCGACTCTAGAAACGGCGAGGCGATGGGCACCCAAAAATATTTTCCTTCCGCATTTGCCAACTCCAGAAACGACAGGGACTTGGGCACCCAAAACCATGTTTTTCCATATTTGCCGACTCTAGAAACGATGGGCTCATGGGCACCCAAAAACATTTTCCGACATTCGTCCGGCGATATGTGCAGACAGGGCAATTGGGCACCTTGACTCCCTGAATGGGTACCAAATGCAATACTCAACTTAAAACCACCCGACTCACTACCAAAACTCATAGACTATTTACCCCCTTTTTAGCTTTCCATTGTTTGCAGCATCCATTAAATCACAAAAGAAATTTAGTAATGCATATGATGCATGAATTTGTAAATACTCATTTTTCCCTAAAATGATTTCCAATGTACCCAATTCACTGTTTCACCTTTCAATAATACCCATGGTTCAGTCAACAATCATCACAAACACAAGGTGTATGTAGAAAAGCATTTCAAACCCTACATTTCAACCTCAAAGTTAGGCAATTACCCTCAATTTCATGTTTTAAGAATCAATTGAACAAAACCCCTCTTTTTAAAACAAGTTTCAAAACAGGGTTTATAAAAAAATTAGGGGTTTCCTCTCTTTCATGAATTAGAGGCTAAATTTCTTCACCAACAACAATAATAGTCAAAGATAAACATAATTCCGTCCATAATCATGAACCATTACTTATATCTTTCCAGATCATTTGGTAGCAAACACAATCCATAAATATACTTATACACCTATATATATATATACACAAAATGAATAGCTAATGACATTACCACATATGAGTTCCAAATTAAAGGTATAACAAGTTAAGGACACCCCGTCCTCAAAAAAATAGAAGCTAAAGTAGAGAATCCAAGCAAAATGTCAGCCAAATCACGAAACAATCGGTGAATAGCTTGAACTTGACTTGCTCCTCATTTATCTTGAAGGATCTTGGGTGAATCTACATCAAAATGTTGAGAAATCAAGTGGTTTGGGGGCTAGGGTTTCAAAATGGGTAATAGAGAGAGAGAGAGAGAGAGAGAGAGAGAGAGAGAGAAAGAGAGAGAGAGAGATAGAGGAATTGGAAAAAGTGAGGAAAGAATGAGTTATATTGACTTTTAAGTAAACTATCCTGAATAAACCACTTGAGCGAACTTTTCATTGCTCGAGCGAACAGCATAATTTTGGGGGGATCGTTCGAGCGATCTTTTTACCACTCGAGCAAAAAACAAGAGATTTTATAAGTTTTGCAAAGCTACAGTGGAAGTACTGAGAGCATGAATTCTATGCTCGAGCAACCACTTCACTGCTCGAGCGGTCCCACCTACAAAATGGCAAACTACTGAGAGCTAAGAATCTTCACTTGAGCGAGCAAATAACCGCTCGAGCGGTCCTCAAAACTCAACTATTACAACCTACCATCCTTAAAGAATTTTGTCCCTGAAAGTATCATAGTCTTTGTCCAACCAACTCCAACAATTCTTAAGGAACACAATTACTACTCTTACAAAATCTCCATTCATTGTAACCTCATCACAATACATAGATTCAAGTTCTCAAGGATTGAAATTCACATGTTGCTTATAATTATCACACATAACATCAACACAAGACTTGTTTATGATTCACCAATCACAATACAATATCATTGTAATAAAGAGTAGCAAAATCATACATCATTAAACAAATCAGGGTATTTTTCATGAACTTCTGTTTCCCTTTCCCAAGTGGCTTCTTCTACCCCATGATTGTGCCATAGCACTTTGACTAGAGGTATAGTTTTAGCTCTCAAAACTTGCTCTCGGGAATCTAAAATCTTTATTGGTTTCTTCTCGTAGGAAACATTTTCATCTACTTCAAGATTCACCCAGTCTAAGACATGAGATGGGTCGGGCTCATACTTGCGAAGCATTGAGATATGAAACACGTCCTGTATCCCAGATAATTGTGGGGGCAAAGCAAGGTGATAAGCAACTTCCCCCACTCGTTCAATGATATAAAAGAGATCAATGAACCTTGGTGATAGCTTCCCACTCCGGCCAAATCTCATCAAACTCTTTCTAGGCGATATCTTCAAAAACACATGGTCACCTACTTCAAAAGACAAGGGTCGTCTTCTCTTATCTGCATAGCTCTTTTGCCGGCTTTGTGCCGTGATTAACCTCTTTTCGAATGATAGCTACCCTTTTTTTTTTCTTCTGTGGTTTCACAAACCAAATTCGGTCCAAGCATGGGTGAATCTCCTACCTCAGCTTAACACACCGGTGACCTACAAGGATGCCCGTATAGGGCTTCAAAAGGTGCCATCCCAATACTAGCTTAGAAGCTATTGTTATAGCAAACTCAGCTAATGATAAATATTTCTCCAATGACCCTTTGAAATCCAATACACATGCTCTCAACATGTCTTCCAAAATTTGAATTGTGCACTGAGACTGACCATTGGTTTGAGGGTGGTAAGCAGTAGTCAAAGTCAACTGAGTCCCCATCACGATTTGCAAACTCAGCCATAACCGTGCGGTGAAGCGAGAGTCCCTATTTGAGACAATGCTCACTCGAAACCCCATGAAGCCGAACAATCTCCTAAACATGGAGTTCTACTACGTAATCCAATGAGTCGTCCATACTCACTGCCAGAAAATGTGTTGACTTAGTTAGCTGGTCTATTATGACCCAAATGGCATCATTACTTTTCTATGTTCTAGGAAGACCTGAAACGAAATCCATTGTGATGTGTTCCCACTTCCATTCAGTTATAGATAAGGGTTGTAATAACCCAATTGGCCTTTGATGCTCTACTTTGACTTGTTGATAAGTTAGGCATTTAGACACAAATAAGGCTACATCTTTTTTCATGTCCTTCTACCAGAATTGACGGCTCAAATCATGATACATTCTCTTACCTCCCGAATGGACTGTAAGACAAGAGGGATGAAACTCTGGAAGTACGTTATCTCTATAGGATTTTGGTAAAAAAGGCGATCTATATAACGGATACTTGTGTCAGAGTGCACCCTTAATCCTTTCATTTTTTTTCCCTTGCAAGATTTTCTCTCTAAGTGCTTATACCTTCGAATCGCTTTGTTGTGCTTCTAAAACTCGTGTGACTAGTGTTGGCTAAGTTAGAATTGAAAACAAGGTGGCTTGCCTAGGTGATTCTCCAAGTTGCACATCAAATTCACTTAGCTCCCCCAATATCTTCCACTCCCTCACGACAAGGCTAGCAACCGAACTAATCGACTTTCTACTCAAAGCATCGGGTACCACATTGGCCTTCCCAGGATGATAATGCAATTCGAAGTCATGATCTTCCAAGTATTCCATCCACCTTCTTTGGCGCAAATTCAAATCTTTTGGGAGAATAAATACTTGAGACTCTTATGGTTTGAGAATACATCAAATCTCTCTCCGTAGAGATAGTGTCTTCAAAGATTTTAAGGCAAAAATGACTGTGGCTAGTTCAAGGTCGTGAGTGGGGTAGTTTCTCTTGTGTGTTTTTAGTTAATAGGAACCGTATGCCACAACTTTTCCTTCTTTCATCAAAACACACCCTAAACTCTCTCTAGAAGCATCATAGTAAACTGCATAACCCAACCCTCTCTCCAGAATAATTAAGATCGGTGCTAAGGTCAATCTAGTCTTCAATTCTAAGAAGGACTTTTCATATGAGTCATTCCAAACGAATTTCACCCATTTCTAGTCAATTTTGTTAGTGGGGCTATTAAGATAGAAAAATCTTTCACAAACCACCTATAATATCTGGCAAGACCCAAAAAGCTATGAATCTCGAAAATGTTCTTAGGTTTTTCCCGCTTCAACATTGCTTCAATTTTCGAGGAATCTATTGTGACGCCCTCGCTTGAGACAACGTGGCCCAAAAACTTCACTTCCAAAAGCCAAAACTCACACTTCTCAAATTTAGCATACAATCGGTGTTCCTGAAGCAATTGTAAAACAATGTGAAGATGTTTTTAGTGCTCCTCTTCAGAAGGCAAATAAATGAGGATATCATCCACAAAGACTACCACGAACACTATCAAGATAATCTCAAAAAACTCTATTAATGAGATCCATAAAGGTGGAAAGAGCATTAGTTAGACCAAATGGCATCACAAGGAATTCGTAGTGACCATATTGCGTACGAAAGGTCATCTTAAGGTATCCTTCTCTTTCACTCGCTACTGATGATAACCTGATCTTAAATCTAATTTTGAGAAACAACATGAACCCTTAAGTTGGTCAAAAAGATCGTCTATCCGAGGCAAGGGATATTTGTTCTTGATTGTGGCTCTATTTAACTTACGATAGTCGATGCATAGTTGCAAAAATGCCAGTGCTCCCCAAGGTGAGGTACTAGGACGAGTAAAACCCTTGTTTAATAATTCTTGCAATTGCTCCTTTAAGACAAGCAGCTTTGCTGGGGCAAATTTATATGGTGACATGGAGATGGGCGTCGTACTAGGCACCAAATCTATAGAGAATTCTACCTCATGATGGGGTGGCAACTCGGTAAGATCCTTAGGAAAAAAACATCTAGATACTCACAAACCACTTTAGGAAATATCCCCCGCACTGTACTACCCTCATCATCGACGATAGTCGCAAGAAGAAAACTAAGTTTGCCTCAACTTCGTGGGTCATACAACAGTGACAACCCTCTATTGCCTCTATACCCCATAAAATAAAATCAGTCCTCGCCAGTGGTACATATTGTAACCCTTCCGCGGTAGTAATATACGACAGCCGGATAAGAGGACAACCAGTCCACACAAACAATGACATCAAACCCCAACATTTCCAATATCACCAAATTGAAAAGGGAGTTGATGTTCAACTACCTTGTTTACACACCCATGATACACTTGATTTAAGATAACTTGACCCCCTATTGGTGACTTAACCATAAGTGAAGACTCTAGTTATTCTACCTTTTAAGCTCAACATGGATGCAAATATAGATGCAATAAATGAATGAGATGCTCCTGTGTCTATTAATATGTTGGCTCAAGTGTGGTAGATAAGATAAGTATCTCTTATCACTGATGGTCTAGATAATTGTTTAGAAGCAGTGACTGCATAAACTCGCCATTGGGGCCTCCGTTCACCCCTATCTCCTCTCAAAACATTGGCTTGTTGTGTTGATATGGCCCCTTGCACTGCCCTAGATTGAACCGATTGATAATTCTTCCGCTGACCTTGGCCTACCTTATAACTCCCAGAATTTCGGGATTCGGAAGCACTTGCCGTCCCGACTAGTTATGGGCAATACCTCTTCATGTGCCCTGATTACTTACAATGGTAACATGTAGGCAACTAGCCCTTTCCCTGGGCTTGGCTTTGAGAACGAGTTGGTTGTTGATGACTAGGATTCTGTTTGCACTTGGCTGCTTTGTGACCTTATTGGCTACATCGGAAACAAGTAACATTGATAGGACCTGTACTTCCAGAACTTCTCACTGAAATGGACTCCGATGACTTAGCTTGTTGGGGCATGGACGGGAAGGAAGATGAAGAACCCCTAGATTTCTTGGAAGATCTGGTATCACCCTTAGATTCCATATAGCTTGGCCTCTTATGCCTCTGTCTTACGTCCTCAACCTCTAACATAATCTCTACATGAGCGGTAGTCTCCACCAGTCTATCATACTCCCTATGCATGTTACCTATCACTTTCATCAGAATCTTGGGCCTCAATCTCTTCTCAAACTCCAAACATTGGATCTCTTCAGTGGCTACAAGCTCGGGTGTGAAACATGCTAGACTAGTAAAAGTGGCCTCAAATTCCACCACGGGGGTGTCCAATTGCTGTAGCTTCTCAAATTTCTTTCTCAACCTTTTCCTAGGCAAGAGCTTCTCTTGGAAGGTGTGGGTCAATGCCTCCTAAGTATGCTCTACTCTATGCTTAACAGACTTCCACCATTGACCCACATCTCTTTTAAGTTAGTAGGCCGCCAATGCCACTTGGAGTTCTCTATCACGAACGTCCAGAATCTCAAAGGACTTAATAATTTGCTCCTGCCATTCATCCATTTTCACTAGTAAACTTGGTGGGGTTAGAATGGAAGAATTCCTTCTTTAGGAAAGAGGTTCGAGTTTCCCCCTCTATTATCCTCACCGCTTGCTTGGCTCGGAGTATTTTCATGGACTCTCGAAGAGCCCCTACCATAGCTCGGGCTAATGGCCCCATTGCATCTTGGGTCGGAGGAACGACCGTGTCATTTTGCCCTACCCCTTCTTCTTGGAGAGGTAAATCTTTTTAAGCTGGCATATCCTGGCTACCTCTGCATAGTCTGCCATAACCTCTACCACGTCTAGACATCCTATATAGAGATAATAAGGACGGATTTAAATCACAATCCATACACTACATGTAAACTCACACATCACCCACGAGTTAGGTACACACTTATACAGATACCTAGGTCACATAAAGCACAACACATAATCATAGAAACACATAAAGCACACATGAGTTACTCCCTCAAGATCTCGACTAGTCCCATGGAACTTAAGAACCTCCTAGTGGAAAAAAAAGCATTGATCATGTGCCTTTCCAAAACGATTTCGATGACTGCAATAGGCACAAGTCATATTCCAAGAGATTAACATCATACTCACATAATCACACAAACATGTAAAACACACAAGGCAAACTAACGTCCCTTGCTAGCACAATAGCCCTATATGGTAAAGCTGCTTCCCATGAGCTCCAGGTATTCAACCCGGTTAGCTCTGATACCAATTTGTAATGCCTTGACAAATGAACCTCCCTGTTCCCCTTCTAATCTGGGCATTACCAATACAAGATCGACAACACAAACTAAACAAAATAGAAATGATATAACATTAACAACATTCCTTCCCTTTCGAACTATTTCCAAACTTTACAACATTGTTTCATTACATTTACAACCAAAAATAAAATAGTTCAACAAGTAAGGAATGTTTCAACAAAATTTTATCTTTGTTATATCAAATATCTGACTATGCATAGTCACCCAAAAATTGTCCCTGGCACACACATAATATGATTCAACACAAGCTTTCACATCCCCAAAAGTTTTCTTCAACTCAAAAACATTCATTTAGGAGGCACGTCATCTTCATTTCCTGAAATTTGGTTAGTTTGGGGTGATTGAAAGCTCAGGAGATAATGCACTTAACAGGTTATAACATTAATTGAAAAACACATGATCATGCAATGCAACATTTGATCATTTTTATTATGTATATGTATGAATGCCCTTATGCATAAGTATGCCACATGTAGGTTAAGTAAACATTTCTTGAATTTAGACGGGGCGGTAAATATACTATGACCTTCAATGTAAGAGTTGAAATTCAAAATGCATACATAGATATAAGTTTTGTATACTTAAAATAGTCCTACATTTGCCAACTCCAAAAATGGCGGGCGATGAGCATCGAAAAACATTTTTCCTTTTGCATTTACTGACTCCAGAAACGGTAGGGATGAGGACACCCAAAACCATGTCTTTCCACATTCGCCAACTCTAGAAATGGCAGGCTTATGGACACCTAAAAACATTTTCCCACATTCATCCGG